GTTGTTTTGGCGGGCCTGGGCTGGATTCGAACCCACCACCTTAGGTATATGTGGCTGGTGCCTTAGCCACTTGAGCCACAGGTGCCGAGCCGACCTCTACTATTTGTTTAAAAACCAAACATTTATTTTACCTATAATCAATAAAACAGTTAATGATGTTCATATCATAAAATCTATTATATAAAATAAGGATAACCATTAGGAAGAATAGTGAAGTCACACTCATGTTCAGGAAGGTAAAAAACTATTAAACCTTTCTAGAGTGCAACTGGCCATGTATAATATAAGTATTAGAAACATAAATGTTGACTGGGCATAGTGGCTCACACCTGTAGTCCTTGCACTCTGAGAAGCCCAGGTAGGTAGACTGCTTGAGCTCAGGAGTTTGAGACCAGCCTGAGCAAGAGTGAGACCCTATCTCCACTAAAAATAGAAAAATTAACAGGTTGTGGTGGTGGGAACCTGTAGTCCCAGCTACTTGAGAGGCTGAGGCAAAAGGACTATTTAAGCCCACAGCTGTGAAGTTGTGAGATATGATAATGCCATGGCACTCTACCCAGGGTGACCAGGTGAGGCTGTGTCAAAAAAAAAAAAAAGTAGGGGGACAGCTTGAGGCTCTGTCTCAAAAAAAAAAAAGGTCCCTAAATTATCTCACTCTCATTTCCATAAATTTAACCTAAGAAAATAAATAATAGCATGACCAAGTTACAAGGATGTTCACTGCATCACTAATGGGAAATTATTAAAATTTAATATGAATGTAAAATGATAGGAAATTATTAACAGAAAGTAACAGCCATTAAAAATATTTACTTTTTTAGTTTTTTTAGAGACAAGGTCTCCCTCTGTTGCCCAGGATGGAGTACAATGGCAAAACTGTAGCTCACTGCATGCAGCCTCAATCTCCTGTGATCAAGCAATCCTCCTACCACAGCCTCTGGAAGAGGCAAGATTACAGGCATGCATACTTGGCTAATTTTTTAAAAAATTTTTTTGTAGAGATGAGGTCTCGCTATGTTGTACAGGCTTGTCTGAAACTCCTGATATCAAGCAATTCTCCTGCCTCAGTTTTCCAAAGCTCTAGGATTACAGGTATAAGCCACTGTGTCCAGACTAAAAATATTTAGAAAATATTAAATGACATGGAAAAACATTCAAAACATATTGAAAAGAAAGGAGAAACCATATGAATACATTCTGGGGGTTGTGCATGCACACGTGTCACACAGAAAAGACTGAAGAATATTTTTCAAAATATTACCAGTGATTACTTTGACGCAGCAAGATCAGAGGTGACTTTTTCCTTCTTTGGCTTATGTTTTCTACATGGTCAGTATTTAATAATGTGAAAATATGATCATGATATTATATTAAATGAAAAAGAAGATAAAAGCCATATGTAGTATAATCATCATTTTATATGAAAAAGGTTTATTCTCACAAAAAATAACTCTAGGGAAGTAAAAACATTGAAAATATTATCTCTTGGGTGATGCCTGTGGCTCAAGGAGTAGGGTGCCGGCCCTGGTCAAAAACTGCAACAGAAAAAAAAAAAAAAAAAGAAAGAAAGAAAATATTCTCTCTTATTTCCATCTATAATAAATCACTGAGATATCTTTGAGTGATGCAATTATTTATGATTTTATTAAATCCTTCTTTACACATGTTCTATTATTTCCCAACTTCCTTATTGATTACAAATTGCTTTTGGAATCAGAAAAGAAAAAAAGAAATAAGGAGTAATTCTGAGTGCAAAACAACTAGAGAAAAGACAGAATTAATTATTTTGGCATAATTTCAAGTGAAAGATGAAATACTGTCCAAAACTTACTGAACACTTGCTATGTATCAGATATTATGCTAAAGATTTACCTTCTAATTCTTATAACTCAATCATTAACCTCATTTTTGAAATAAGAAAACTAAGAGAGGCTAAGCAATTTGCTCAAAGTAAACAAGCTGGCAAGTGGCAGAGCTGGGATTCAAAGCCAGAAAAGCTGACACCAAAGTTCAAGGACTTCACCACCACCCAGTACAGCCTCTGCACCATGAGCCATGTCTGCACAAAGTACAACACAGCCATCTCAGGTAAACTGCAGGCGGAAAGAGCCACAGGAAAATCAAATCATAACTTTCCTATTCTTGGGGCTGTGCTACTATCCAATGAACACGTAGTAAGGGCAGTCTTGACAATGCCCATATAACATGCCCATATCAACTAAAGCTCTGCTTTGCCTTGCTACAATTTTTGGAAAAAAATAAAAAGAAAATTTCATCATACAAATTAGAGACTTTCTTAAGGCTACATGAAAAATTAGAGTACTATTTCAAGGAAACAATAGTTAATTATTGAGAAGGGGAAAAAATTTAAAAAAATAGAATTAAAAATAAAAATAAAAAGATAAGACATATAGAACTTTTGCTTGATTCCTGGGAAATACAGAGGAAAAAACATCTATAAAAGTCAAAGCAAACTAAGTCAAGGAAATTAAAGAACATGATTAGAACGAAAAAAATATATAAGAATAAAGCAAAAACTCCAAAATAAAAACAGGACAAGAAGCTATCACCTAGTCTCTAGCAAGCTCCAAAATCCTGGGTTGATGTTGGTTCCTGCCCCATCACATCTTCTGCTTACCTTATGTACATCCTTTTGCAGATAGAGTCCCCAGCGCGTCAGTTCATTGCTGGCTGCCTCGTTCTTTGAAATCCTCTGCAGCAAGCATTCCAAAGCATTATGGTGCTGTTTGGGGCTCAGATTGATCTGTTGGGTCAGATCCTAAATAGAATTAAAGTAGATATAGTAATTTATAAGTATTACTTTCTCCAATATGAAGTTAAATAAACTGCAATGTATTTAAAATGCTTCCATAAGAAACCTCCTTTCACTTGTAGAAATTTTCATACATCTCCAAGGACTTCAATAAATCTCTCTTAGGAATATGAATGAAGTATAAAATTAAAAACTGAATTTTGAAAGAATTTAGTAAGTGTTTTTGGCTCTTCCTCCTTCATGATGTACGAATCTAATTTCTTTTACACAGCATGCTTTGACTTTAAAATTTCTAAAAGGGCTGGGCGCAGAGGCTCATGCCTGTAATGCCAGCACTCTGGGAGGCCAAGGCAGGTAGATGGCTTGAGCTCAAGAGTTTGAGACCAGCCTGAGCAAGAGCAAGACCCCCTTGTCTACTAAAAATAGAAAAATTAGCTGGGTGTTGTGGTGGGTGCCAAAAGTCCCAGCTACTCAGGAGGCTGAGGCAAGAGGATTTTTGAGCACAGGAGTTTGAAGTTGCTGTAGCTATAATACTACAACACTCTACCAAGGACAACAAAGTGAGACTCTGTTGCAAAAAATAAAATTAGCTGAGTGTAGTGGCTCATACCTGTAATACTAGCTAGCACTCTGGGAAGCCAAGGAAGGTAGATTGCTTGAGCTCACGAGTTTGAGACTTGCCTGAGTTAGAGTGAGATCCTACCTCTAAAAATAGCCAGGCACCTGTAGTCCCAGCTACTCAGAAGGCTGAGGAAAGAGAATCACTTGAGTCCAAGAATTTGAGGTTGCTATGAGCTATGACACCACAGCACTCTACTAAGGGCAAGAAAGTGAGACTCTGTCCAAGAAAAAATTTAATTAAATTTCTAAGAGATACTGGGCAGCGCTTGTGGCTCAGTGAGTAGGACACTGGCCCCATATACCAAAGGTGGCAGGTTCAAACTCAGCCCCCGCCAAACTGTAACCAAAAAATAGCTGGGCGTTGTGGCGAGCGCCTGTAGTCCCAGCTACTTGGGGAGGCTAAGGCAAGAGAATCACCTAAGCCCAGGAGCTGGAGGTTGCTGTGAGCTGTGATGCCATGGCACTGTCCCCAGGGTGATAAAGTGAGACTCTGTCTCTAGGAAAAAAAAAAAAGAAAGAAAAGAAAAGAAAAAATAATTTCTAAGAGATTCTACAAACCAGGAGCAAAGGGGGCTTGATTACATCTATTTAAAATGTGGGAAAAACGGGGGGGGGGACCATATACCAGATATTCTAACATAAAAGAATGGAAAACCATATTCAGTCTGACACTTCACATCATACTACACTAGCCTTTTAATGTTACTGCAAGGCACAATGTTACTGCAAGGCACATTTTTGCCCAGAACCTGCTACAATGTTTGACTCATAATAGGCACTTCCTAAATATTTGTTGATTAGTATCTAACAGGTAGGTATAATAACTCTGAACCACATAAGGGAACTCGTCATTTATTTGTCTGGGATGAATGAACCATGTAAATGCTGCTTCCTGTAAAGCAGTCATTAGGGTCAGTAGCTCTGTGGGGCTGCACATGTAGCTCTGTATCATAAAGTCATCAGCCAACTGGGAGTCACAGGAAGGGGCACTGAACTACAAACAGGTCAAAGTAGAAGCACTGGAAGGCAAACATGAAAGAAATCTCTTATAGGAATCTTGAGCTTTGCTCAGGCTCCACATGATGTTACTCAAAATTGTATGCGGCATATGGGTCCAAAACATACCAGTACTAGAAAGCAAGGCAGCTGAGTGTAACTCAAGGGTGGACAGCCCCAGGAGTCACAGACGGTGCAAAGGGTCAGCCCTGAGGGTCTGGACTCAATACTGCATGGGTGTAACTGCAGTGCCCAGCCTGCTGCTCAGCCACGGCCTGCAGGAGCTGAGCCCAACATTCACAGTTCACTCAGAGCCCCACAGGAGAAACATCTACCCTTAACTTTCGACTTGTTGAATTTTTGCTTCATTATCTTCTCCATACCTTTAAATAAACTGAAGGTTTATCAAAACATTGTAATAATTTAGTGCTCCCAAAGACCCTCACTTGTGGTGCTCTGCCCACTTCACACCATCCATCTGACCGGTGAGGATGAAGACAGACTTGTTCCTTATTATATAATCTAGTCCCTCTACTGTTCCAATGACCTTCAAAAGGAAGTTTTGATATGCTTTTTCACATGTCCCTTCCCATGTTTTTTTTTTTTTTTTTTGTGACAGAGCCTCAAGCTGTCCCCCCTGGGTAGAGTGCCGTGGCATTACAGCTCACAGCAACCTCCAACTCCTGGGCTCAAGCGAGTCTCCTGCCTCCGCCTCCCAAGTAGCTGGGACCACAGGAGCCCGCCACAGCGCCCGGCTATTTTTTGGTTGCAGCCATCATTGTTGTTTGGCGGGTCCGGGCTGGGGATTCGAACCCGCCACCTTAGGTGTACGTGGCTGGCGCCTTAGCCGGTTGAGCTATAGGCGCCTAGCCCCTTCCCATGTTTCACAGTGAGGAACATGGAGGCCTAGAAAAACAGACTTGCACAGCTAACAGTGCAAGCCAGTGTCAGGGTCGGAATCCGGCTTCCATCTAACCCAAAACTGCTATCCCAAAGGATACCACCTGAGGCAGGCGTTCCTGCTAAAAACAGCAGGACTCTAACCTTCATGGCTCTGAAGTCCTTTTTCATCTTCTCGGGAATTCCAGTCATGAAGGAAAGCTCGGGCAGCAGAAGGATTTCGCCTTTTAGCAGCTTTGAAGAGAAAAGGAAGAAGAAATATAAGGCAATAAAAGAGGATCATGTTCCTCTGACCCAAGCAGGACATGCCATGCCCAGGGCTGGCCCTGCAGTGACATGGCTTGTGCACTAAGGTATCTAAAACCCCGCACAGTGGCTCATGCCTGTGATCCTAGCACTCTGGGAGGCTGAGGCAGTAGACTGCTTGAGCTTAGGAGTTTGAGACCAGCCCGAGCAAGAGCAAGACCCATCTCTACAAAAAACAGAAAAATTACCTCCCAAGTAGCTATGTGTGTGCCTCTAGTTCCAGCTATTTAAGAGATTAAGGCAGGAGGATCACTTGAGCCCAAGAGTTTGAGATCACATGAACTATAATGATGCCACTATACTCTAGCCAGGGTGACACAGTAAGAATCTGTCTCAAGAAAAAACAAAAAAAATAAAAAACTACACCTTCTCTAATGGACCCAGTTTCATTTCATTCACAGGAAATTCTTATCCCCTAATCTAAATTGCTCATGTGGATATTTAGCTCCTCCTTGTGGAGACTTTTAAAGTAAACCAGTATGTGGCTCGGTGCCCGTTGCACAGTGGGCAGGGCACCGGCCACATACACCGAGGCTGGTGGGTTCCAACCTGGCCCCAGCCAGCTAGACAACAATGACAACTGCAACAAAAAAATAGCCAGGCGTTGTGGCAGGTGCCTGTAGTCCCAGCTACTTAGGTGGCTGAGGCAAGAGAATCACTTAAGCCCAAGAGTTTGAGATTGCTGTGAGCTGTGATGCTACAGTACCCTACTGAGGGTGACGTAGTGAGACTCTGTCTCAAAAAAAAAAAAAAAAAAAAGTAAACCAGTGTGAAGTGGCACCTGTGGTCTGTATGGCTTTTCCCAACCACACTGTAATCATGCTCCTGGTTCCCACAAAACCATGAGGACAGCTGAAAATGGCTGAGAGGATGGAGAACTTAAGCTAGAAATGTAAGCCTGACATCCCCACTCACCATCCCATGGTTATTCTGTCTCTCACTTGGCCTGTGGATCAGCAGTGGCTGGTCCTCTTCCTTAATTGTGATCCCATAGTTTTTGCTAGAGCAGGGTAGAGGCAAGAAAAAAATTCAGAAGTAGCATTGCTACTCTTACAGAAACACAGTCTGAGTCTCTTAACCAAAACTGAGGTATACGATTTGCATTAATACTCTTGCAAGAATCCAGCGGAAACTGGTCATAATAGATGTATAAGTGGAAAAAGCAGGCTCAAGTTACACTGCAATTAAATAGAGGAAAAATAAGACTATAAGTCTAGGAAAGAATCTGTTAAAAACTGCATCAGGCTAAAGGGCTCAGGCAACTGAAAGACAGTCACATGACTGATAACCTTAACTTAACCTCTCCAACCACACTTCTAACAAAATCAGCAGAAGAAATACAACTCAAGCCCTAAGATTAAGTTATGTATAACTTCTAAAAGTACTGAAATAAATGAAACTATAAGGTATCATATTTGGGTCAAATCCTACAAATAAACTCATTCACCTTTAGTTGAATTGCAAATTCAATTATTTTACAAGTGTCAAGTTGTATGCTCAAAATCCTGCTAGAGAATAGTAAACTACATCCCACCCCTACCTCAAGCCCAAATTCAATCTCTTTCTACCTGTAGTATTCCAAGAATGTGATCTCCTTCCCATCAGACATTGTGAAGCTATCTTTTGGGGTCTTATTCCAATCCACATCATCAATACGATA